TATATATATATATATATATATATATATATGGAACATATCAAGTGAGAGAAATTTATTATGAGAGATGAAAGGGTTAAAATATAACCCTTAGATTAATTTTCTCTCACTTGATTAAACTCCAAATTTTCTCTCACTTGATTAATCTAAAGGTTATATTTTAACCCTCTCATCTCTCATAATAAATTCCCTCACTTGAAATTTGTATCTTATAAAAAGAACATAGAAAATAACTTGACCTAGAAAAAAAAAATATACCTTATTATTAAAAATATATATAAATAAATTTCAATTAATTTGACATTATTTAATGTTATCATCTCCAAAAACACCAATCATCTGATTGAAATTTTATTACTAATGACTCATTTTTCTTCTTGATATCAAAGTTTTCATAGAGGTCATTTAGAAAAAAAAAAGTTTATTCTTTAAACGAAATTAGTGCAATTAAAAAATGTTAACTAACTTTTTTAATTAACATAAATCAACTTTTTTTTCTTAATTAACATAAATCAACATTTTTTTCTTATATATCAGACTAGATCTTATAGAGTATATTGTATAATTATTTTGTTGTGAAGAAAAAATGTAATTCATTAAATCATATTTAAATTATTAAGATTAAAAAATATGTACATGATTTTTTAAGTGGTGAGGTAACCACTAATTCTGTTTTTTAATCTTATCCATCCAATATGGACAATAAAAAAAATTACATATATATATAATTATATAATTTATTTTAAAGAATCACATATATTTAATTTCGATCATTTAAAAGATCATTAAATTATGATATAGTAATTTATATTTATAGTGCTAATCTTTTATAATACTTTTTTAAATGGTTCAATTTTGTTCTCTAATTTTTTTAAAATTTAATATTATCATTTTGTTCAAATTAATATTAATTAATGATGTTAAAGAAATAAGATAGAAGAGTAATATTGAACATATTTTGAAAATTATATGACTAAATTGAATCATTAAAAATAGTGAGAGTAAATTAATTATAAAAATAGAGAGATTAAATTGAACAAAAATTTATCTTTTGTTTAGATAAATTTAATTTTTCTTTTACCAATTTAATAATTCTTTTTATTAGATAACCCATTTATTTTGGATCATTTTTTTAATTCGAATTACTCAATTTGTTGTCATTCATGATCTTATTAGGATAAGTAAAAGAAAATTTAAATTTATCCAGATAAAAAAAATGTTAGATAAATTTGTATTCAATTTGGTTCTACTATTTTTAAAATATTTAATTTGTTTCTCTAATTTTTAAAAAATGTTCAATGTTATCCTTTCATCTAATTTTATTAACACCATTAATGTCATTTTTTATGGAAGGGTAACGTTGAATATTTTTTAAAAAATTAAATGACCAAATTAAGTTTTTTAAAATAGTGAGACTAAATTAAATTCAAAAAATATATAATTGAATATTTTTTTTAACAATTTCAATATTTATGATACTCGGATCATTAGTCCACAACTACTATTGTAACTTGAGATCAGGATTGTGTTAGCTCCCTTTAGTTACTAGTGTAAAAAGAACTTTTTTATGAAATATATTTTTATAATGGATGTAATCCACGCAACATAAAATATGTCGCGGTTGCAAAATAGTAGATATGACAAAATTTTATATGTCGGATATTATATCACTTATCATAGAAAGTTCTTTTTATATTAAGTGTCATTACACTCATCATAGTTGTTGACCTTTTCCAACACATTCTATAACAGATGTAATGACACTTGAAATAGAAAAAACTTTCTATATGACGGGTGATTTCTATGACTGTATAATGACACTTGACATGGAAAGAACTTTTTATGATGGATTAGCATAAAAAGTACTTTAAGATTTCAAATCAAATATGCAATTTACATTTCAAATTCTTGTTTCTAATATTGTATTTTTTTCTTTGTCGTCCTCCTTCACACTCACCTAGCTAGGTAAATTCTTTTCTTCTTTTGCCTTCTTTTTTGTGTTTTCTGTTGTTATTGATATTCAAAGTGTGGCAGTTTAGAAGTAAACAAGGTAATGTCAGAATGCTAAATGCAGTAGTTACAAAAGAAAATTTGAGAATGAGAGGGAAAAAGGGCGGTGGAGAATGTGAAGAAATGCAACAAAAGAAAACAAACATGACAACAAAATATGAAGAGATGCAATAACAAGAAGGAAAGAGGCAAAATATGAAGAGATACGATAAGAAAAAAAGAGTATAATAAAGAAACATTAATTAACTAAAAAATAAGACTTTTATATATCAATTATTTTCATAACAAACATAAAAAGTCAATGTTTTTATGTTATTTATTTTTATAGTCAACATAAAAAATTAAGACTGTCTATATTGTCACAGATTTAAAATCGACATAAAAATTTATTTTAGTATTTCTTTTGGTTCGTCTCTCGCTACGTTAGAGGCACCTCAAAGGGTGTGATAGTTGGCTCCAAGATTTAATGCGACTGCATACATAAGGCAGGATTCAAACTCCTAACTTTGCTTAAGCGTTGATCAATCCTTACCGTTGAACCACACGTTTGGAGTTATTTTAGTATACACACTAATGATTACATTGCGTCCATCTTATAAATTAAGACACAGTAATCAATCTCCACTTCTCAATTGAATGCTGCCTTCTTAAACTTCGTTAGTTAGCAGTTGTGCATGCCTTGACCTTGACCTTGACCTGTTGAGTCCTTCATTTCAACCAAATTGAAAAGGAAATTGTTGCTTATATTATGCCAATAGCATAGTTATTCCATTAAAGTTGTCAACCCACGAAAGAGACACTTACTTACTTGTGTCATAATTTCTACTCCCCTAGTGGAGTGGAGTGGTGGTGGTAGGCTTGATTAAGTCAAGTACGTGAGCACTTCTTCTACGCACAACAATAACATCAAGATTAATACGCTAGAACCATTCTATTGCATGCTAGTCATAATCATAATAAAGTCAAGTTGGTAACTGTCATGTTCGTATCACTAACGTCAAGTATTTCTTGTGTATCTATGTACTAATTACATAGACCAAGTCAATTGTGTCTTTTTCTTATCACTTAGAATCATGAGATTTTTTTCCAAATAAAAAATGCCAGAAATGTGGAAAAACAATTATATATTACGTGCAAATGTAATTTTGCGTACGTTTTTAAAAGTTAAAACCGAAACAATGCTGTTTAAGCATTATAGGACTTTTTATTCAGAAACATAATTGTTTTATTCTAAATTAAAAAGAAATCCATATACTATTATTCAAATTTATAGACAACCGTATGTGGTTATATTGAGTGAGTAACATTCCTTTTTCAATTTTATTTTCACAATTGCTAATTAAAATGGCATGGTAAGGGAAAGTTACAAATTTTTAGTAAATTTAAAATGTTTTTTTTTTCTTACCCAACCACCTAACTCAAGTACTCAACTCATCTTGAACATTAATATTTAAATTGTAATTTCATAAAAATTATAAGAAATGACATCATAGAAGAAAAACAATCATAAGGTGTGAAATCACAACCAAGGTTCGAAGTTTTGTCGGGAAAATTGTCTAGTCTAATGTCCGATTATGCCTCTAAATGAGGATACTTATGAAATAAAAAAATTAATTGGGTAAATTATTTATAATTACTATTTTTGTAAAAAAATAAAAATTCAATGTCCAAATCATGAACATTATATATTGGAATCATACTCATTCTAAAATCAATATATTTAAATCGACTACTTTCTTTACTTTAATTAATAGTAGTTAAATATACTATCTTAATATTATTATTATTATTATTATATATTATTTTTAATTTAATGATTAGATCATTAAAATTTAATGTACATAAATTGTTAAGTGGAATAAGTCTACTAAAACTTACCTTTAGAATAAGTATTTTTCTCAACACATGAGATCAAATTATATTCGCAATTTTTTTTATAACTATTATACCATTGAATCATTTTTAATTGAATAATTATTTTTTTAAAACTCATGGTTAGATTTAAAGTTATTTTTTCTCATATCATATATAAAAAAATTATATTAATCCAAAATTATTTGATATTTCATCAATTCATATAGATTAAAATTGACATAATATATATTTTAAAATATATTAAAATATAAATAATTTAGTTATTTTTTATTATTATTTAATTTTAATAAAATTTGACATATACATTCAAAATAATATAAAATTATAATTTAAATTTTTGATAGATAAAATTCATTTTCAATATAAAATTATTTGACAGTATAATATTTGATCATCCCATATGTGTAACCTAATATAATCATGTATTCTTAATCATTAAAAAAATAAAAATTTAAGGTTGGTGATTTATTTCTGGCCACACTACCCTTTGTCTAGGTCAAACTAAGGTGTCAATGCCCCTGCTGTGTGTATTTATAACAAAATAGTATATATCTTAGAAACTGCTCGTCTTTGTATTCATAGAACTTGGATATATATCAAGTTATTGGTGAGTTCATATTTGTTGCGGTTTTTGTGCCTTTTTTTCTTGTGACTAAAGTAAGCTTCGATGCAGATATATAACATGAAAAGAGAAACACAATGGATTTGGTTTGTCTTGGTTTTACTTTTCATTACTCATACCATTTCAGCTCTGGACAAACCCGTTGCAAGAGAAATGATCAATAACAAACCTGGTATGCATACCGCAACTACTTAAAAATTATATTCTGTTTGAATAAATTTCTTTTAAGCATTTTCAAGTAGAACTCATTTTGAGTTTTTAATTTACCTTTTGTGGACCCTTTAATTAATGTCATGTAAAATTTAAGAACTTTTTTCTATTTTTTCTTCAATATAAGAACTTATAATTTGAGTTTTTAATTCACTCTACGGGGATTCTACAATTAACCCACTTTCTTTCGTCTTCTTCTTCTTCTTTTTTTTTTTTGCAAGAACTCTGTTTGTATGAATCCTTGTAGAAAAACTTGTTCTATATGTAAAAGTTATATCACTATGTCCAATGATAAAATAAATAAGAATTAATTCTTATAATAATTACTTCTTAATAAATATGTTTAAGAATATCTTCAATAGTAATTCTTATAAGTAATTTATTAAAATTTTAATCTTATTTTAAATAAAATCCATCCTATCATATCATTTTAAGCTATTTATACTATTTTTTTTATATAAATTTTGTTCTAATGGTGAGATATATAAGAAACTCATAATTTTATAAGTTTTTTTATTTAGATTTCACTTTTTACAGCTCAAAAAATTAATATAATTATTATAATTAAGTGTTAATTTAATTAAACATAATAAATAATATTTTGACATATAATAAATTAATAATAAAATTTACATAATTAATTTAATACATATAAAAAAATTTACATATTAAAAAAATTATGTAAACATAAGAAATATAACGATGTTGAATGACTAATTTTTTATTCGTGAATGATGAAAGGTTGATGATACATGATATATTTTTTTATTTGTAGAAGTGATTTGCATCCTCAATTAAGATTAAAAAATATTAATTTTTTCATAAATAATGTTATTTATTTAAGTAATTTTATAAGTCATGTCATCACACTTCAATGAAAATTGTTACTTACTAATAAGATACACCACTATCATTCTCCATTGGAAATGCTATAAAATCATTTCCAATGAAAAATTCTTATACGACTTTTTAAAATATGAAACTAGTTTATTTTTTTTTTTTACCATTGAAGTGAAGTGACAGTAAAATTGGTTCTTATCTAAAAACCCACAAGAACCAACTTGTAAAAAAGAAGAAAGAAAATGGATCATTAAATAAGAACTCGCGTTTGATTCGAAGAAAGAAAACGGATTTAATATATAGAACCTACGTAAAATGAATTAAAAACTCAAGTTCAATTCTTCTATATATGGGAGAGAAAGAAAAAAAATATAGGTCTTAAATTCTATATGGCATAAGCGACTCATAAAAAGCACATTAAGAACATGCATTCTTTTATTGGAAATGCTGCTGTAAGAATTCTTTTATTGGAATACTCCCGTCATATTATTGAAGGTGACTTAAATATTTCTAAAAGAAAAAGTAAGGGGAAAAAAAAAACATTTTGTATGAGATGGAACTTGGTATGTATATGATGATGTGAGTGAATAGAATTTTCAGGTTTCATAAGCATAGATTGTGGATCAGAAATAGATTACCTGGACAGCGAATCTGGAATGTGGTACGAGTCAGACAATGGTTATGTGGAAAGAGGAAGCAATCACATGGTTTCATGGAACGTAGACTTAAACTTTCGCTATTTCGGGAAACAGTTGAACACACTGAGATGCTTCCCGGAAGGAGAGAGGAACTGCTACAGCCTGAAACCGAAGGAGGAGCAGACAAAAAACAGCAGCAAGTACCTCATAAGGGCTCTCTTTTCATATGGAAATTACGATGGCATAAACCAAGCCCCTTGTTTCGACTTGTACATTGGAGTCAACCTTGCACATAAAGTCAACCTCAGTGGCTACGAAAACGGTTACTGGAACGCCGAGATTATTCACACTGCTCCCTCTGCCTCAACACAGACCATAGATGTGTGTCTTGTGAGAAGTGGCCCCACAATCCCTTGCATTGCTTCATTGGAACTACGACCTTTGAACACTTCCATTTATCAGACGCCACCTACTGATCCACAACAATTGTTGATACTCCAGCTAAGGATTGACGTTGGCACCCCTCCACTCCCTCCGCCTTATGATAGCGAGTAATAATCACTCTCAAAACTTCGTTACTTTATGGTTTAGCTCCATCAACTCTTGATTTTAATATCTCCCCGGATTAGTTTTTACTTTTTACCATTTGACTTGGGGAAAATCTTAGTTTAGTGGTGTTCAAATCAAACCAACTCAAAAAAAAAAAAAAAAGTTGATCAATAAAAAAAAATGCAAGCCGATCAAAAATCATAAATTAACAATTTAGTTTAGATTTAAAAGTTTCAAAATTTTCCAAATGCATAATGCCCGTATATAAAATTGACACATAAAATTATAAGTTAATAAAATATGTTTTTCTCTCCAAATATAATTATAATATTTAAAAAGTATTTTATAAAATTGTAAATTATTAAACTGAATTTTAGAATAAAAAATTATAAATTACTTATAATATTCAAAAATAATTTTGATTAAGTGGCAAATTATATGTATAAGAAAAAATATTTAATATAATAACTAAAATTACATTAAAAAAATATTTTTACTAAAATAAGATAAGATGTTAAATATATTAAGTGTGACTGAAATATTTTAATATTTGTATACTTTTAATTTTATTCTTAATATACAATCTTAAAAAACAATATAATATTATATATTTTTAATTAATTTTTAAATAACAAATTTTAAAATTGCAAAAATTAAACTAAACTAAATTACAAAATACTAATCTAATATGATTCGAATTTCATAATTCATTCAAATTCAACCAAATTAAATTACAATCAATTTTATTATTTGATTTCAGTCATTTTTAAGGAAAAATAAATAAATAAATCAAACCACACGACGAACCACAACTTACTTTACCAAATAAATAAATAACTTTGCTACTTTCCTTAAGTTTGCCATCAGGTACTTCATGCATTGCGTGTTTTAAATATATAACTGAAAAATACTTCTAAATATTTGTATTTCTTAACATAGTTTTTAGAAGTAAAATTGTTCAAGTTTTATTTGATATAAACTATTTCAAATGATAGATTAAATAATTTTTTCTTTCTATATATTGATGGTGAAATATAAGAAATAATTACTTGTAAAATATATTAAACTAAATATTAAATACAAATTGTTCACCAAAGTAAAGTATAATAACTTAGTCGTTCCAAACTCTTGTATCATATATATAATTGCCAATAATGACTGAAACAAGAAATTGTTTCCTTTTGTTTCTTCCTCCACGAAAGTTCATTCTTTAGGTACAAAGATGACGTGTATGATCGGACATGGCGGCATAACCTGGACGGTATGAAGGATTGGTATAGCTTGGATATGAAATCTGTTAACTTTGACAATGGAAGCAGTGATTACAAGTTGCCATCCCAAGTACTGAGAACTGCGGTCCAAACGCGGAATGTCTCGAAGCCATTACAATTTGACTTTGACAATGTCTTTTTCGAGCCATTGGACAAGCCTTTTGAGTACTTCATCTACTTTCACTTCGCTGAAATTGAGCAACTTCCACGTGGACAAAAGAGAGTCATCGATATCACCCTTGAATTTGAACCCATCCTCTCACACCCTTTGGTTCTTGAATACCTCAAGCCAGTCACCGTTAGTCCTCAGAAAACAACTCGGGGCTTTGTTTCATTTAACATTACTGCCACGTCAGAATCGGATGCTCCACCTATCCTCAACGCCTTTGAGATTTATAAGTTGATAACGCAACTTGATTCACCAACACACACTGCAGATGGTATGTATATATATATATATATTACATAGGTTATCTGCTTGGTTATGATTAAAATAATGAATGTGTTATGTTATATACTTGTTGCAACATGCATGTTTTAGTTGGTGCTATTGTGGACATCAAAAGTACGTACCAGATCTCTAGATTGAATTGGCAAGGAGACCCATGTGTTCCAAAGCAATATGCATGGGAGGGTCTCATATGCAGCTTCTCCGCCACCATTCCAAGGATAACATCTTTGTGAGTACAAATTAAACTTCTTCTAATAATCTACTCTCAAGTGAAAAAAGGATATTTGGAAACTTCTGAGTCAAGAGGCTGGTGTCTGTACGGAGAGAGATAAGAAAAGAAGAAAAATTAGTGATTAATATAATTAATGATGGGTGCAAAAGAAAAAGAGAAATAAAGAGGAATTCAAATTAGAAAAATTCTACGTACCATTATAATCGTGGAGTACCGAAACAGTTATTTTATTTTTATTTTTTTTATTGTACTTACTTGTTTTATTTTTATTTTAATTTAATATTTTTAATAATTTATCTGTATAAATTTTTTTTATATCTTTATATTATTTTTATATTTTTTAATTTATATTTTTCAATTGTATTATTTTTTTTTATTTTAATGTTTTTATAATATTATTATAATTTTTTGTTTTTAATTTTTAAATTTTATCGTATATAAACAAAATTTATTATGAAAATTGACCTTTTGATTATTTTTTTAATTAATCTTTTTATTGATTCATCTTATACAAATTTTTAATCTAAAATTTATGTTATTTTAAATTTATTTTTTAAAATTTATTTATTCACATAATTTTATGTATTAAAATTCTTCAATTTTCATGAGTCCCATAGCAATCCTTCAAAATAATAGTGTTTCATTTAATCACTACCCCAAATCCGACACCATCTCTAGGATGCCTGGGGAAGAGAAAAAGGAAAAGAGAACAAGATAAGTAATGATATTTAGACACATGTAATTTATGAATTAGACACATGTAATTTATGAATGTCTTAATAACACTTCTTATTTTTCTGTCTCTCTCATCATATCACATTATCAATCATATTACACTAATGTTATTTCTTCTGAAAAAATACATAATCAAAAGTTTTTGAATTATTATAAAGTTGGCACTTACAAACTGATACACAATAAAATATTCATTCACGTTTACCTTTTCAAAATTTTAATGGCTCAGAAGATATTTTGAATTTTCAATGTCGGAAAATACAACATTTTTCATCGTATTAATCATTTATCTAATTTTTCTATTGGTGTCTACACTTTAAAAAGTGCCGAAGAATAGTTTTTTTCCAACAAAATTATTAGTAACGTCACCGTGACACATGCATGTGTTACGTCGTAAAATTAAATTGTATTAAGATTAGGATACCTGTCTGACTTTATTCTTAATCCCAAACGACGAGCAGGAACCTGAGCTCAAGCAAGCTGATGGGGCAAATAAATATGTCATTCTCACACCTTACAGAACTAGAATTCCTGTGAGTAGTGATTATTGTCGCTCAATATAATATTCAAACTTCAAATATTATCATTCACTAATTAGGTTTAAATGTTACTTTGTTCCAGGGATTTGTCACTCAACGAATTGGAAGGACCTTTGTCAGAATTTCTGGCAGAATTGCCAAACTTAAAACTTCTGTATGTTTGGAATATTTCTAATGACTTTCAACTTGATAATTTTGCCTGCTAGTAATATTCACCGTCTTTGCAGTAATGTGACTGGGAACAAGCTTTCAGGAAAAGTTCCTAAGGCTCTCAAGGAAAAGGCAGATTTGCAATTAAGGTATTAAATATATTATTTCGTATTTTTTGGTTTGTTTGATGCCCATCTTTTGCTTTATTTGATTATTCCCCTCATTATATATATTTAAGAAGCATCAATAAACTAATTAATTCCAGAAGTTTTCACTGTTAGGATTAGGTGTTACCCCTCACTCCAACCAATTAAATGGAATGATGAAACCGGTTGCTAATTAAACAAGTTTGTAACAGACTCATGTAAATTTTCGATCCACAATTGTGACAAAGAAAGAGAAAATTAAACAACATCATACACAATACAAATAACTTGTACTCCTTTACCTTTCTCTCCGAGCTTAATTTGAGTAAACTTTTGAGTAATGTACTGGAATAAGTACTTGGTACTGTTATAATGTGATGTTAAATGTGTTTTCACAAGTCATATTTAGTAATATTGATGAGATTCTTTTCATTTGTAACTGTTATAATATTCTAAAAGTAATTTTCAATTTATAAATGTTTATGAATGCACAGCAGAAAAGGTGTAGAAAAATATAATATAGTTATTCAGCTTCAATTTATCTTCATTAAACTACATATTTGTCTTAGTAAAGCAATTTGGTTGTTGTACCGTTGCACTATACTATTCAATGATATTCCATATCCTATGATAACTAATACCATGGCACTTTTGACATCTTTCAGTGTGGATGATAATCCTGATCTTTGCATGGACTCGTGCAATAAGAAGAACTTTGTTACACCACTGGTTGCATCACTTTCAGCTTTGATTGTAATCCTCTTTATTGCTCTTGGATTTTGGATAATCAAAAGAAGACAGAAAGGTACTTAATTGTACCTTTTACCCTAGTTTCATGACTGAATTGCTACTTTATTAACCCCGAAGTCATAATCAATTTCATATATATTTGCATGTTTTAATTAGGATTTTATTTGCCACTGTAGTTATGCTTTCTGATTCAAAGAAGGGGGAATCATTGACATCAAAGTATCGAGCATTTAGTTACAGTGAGATTCTCAATATTACTGAAAACTTAAAAACTGTTATTGGAGAAGGAGGATTTGGAAAAGTTTACTTCGGCATTCTACAAGATAACACTCAGGTCGCTGTTAAGCTGCTTTCATCTTCATCAGCGCAAGGTTACAAGGAATTCCGATCTGAGGTTAAATATTGCATTTGTTAAACTTTGAAATTTGAACACCATAAATCTAATTTTGATTTATTGAACTCTCTTGGTCCCATGATAAGTTTCCTATTAGAAGAAAAAATTCATCTCAAAATAAGTATCATGTTAATTTTTCAATGAAGTATTAATTGTTTCTTTTCCTTTTATATTTCTAATAATATTATGTGGAAAATAGATATTGTGTTACATCGTTTCTGATAAAAAAGATTAATTATAAGGTTATATTTATAAAATTACTATTCTATTTCATCTATTTATTAATTTTTTTTATTTTAGCAAAATAAACAAAAGAAGTAGTTGATGGGTCCATACATAGAAAAATATTGTGGTAGGTGTGAACAGAGCATGCCCCAAGGACTCATATCCCTTGCCGAGCATTGACAGGCTAGTCGACGGAGCATCCGGGCACGCCCTCCTCAATTTCCTCGATGCCTACTCCGGGTACAACCAGATAATGATGTACCCACTTGACGAGGTGCATACATCCTTCATCACCGATCACGCCAATTACTGCTACCGAGTGATGCCATTCGGTCTCAAAAATGCAGGGGCTACTTATCAGCGGCTGATGGACAAGGTTTTCCACCAGCAGATCAGAAGGAACATGGAAGTCTATGTTGACGACATGGTGGTCAAAACCACTTCGGTCGAAGGTCATGCTGCCGACCTCGCCGAGGTCTTCAACCAGATCAGGAAACACAACATGCGCCTCAACCCAGAAAAATGCGTCTTCGGTGTCCAGGGAGGTAAGTTCCTGGGCTTCATGATCACTAGTAGGGGGATTGAGGCCAACCTGGAAAAGTGTAAAGCCATCATTCAGATGCAGAGTCCCCAGACCATGAAAGATGTCTAGCGTCTGGCAGGCAGATTGGTCTCCTTTTCCCGGTTTATCCCCAGGTTGGCGGACAAGGCAGGGCCCATCTTCACCCTTCTACGCAAGCCAAAAAATTTCGAGTGGACAGACCAATGCGAAGAAGCTTTCAAGAGCTTCAAAGATTTTCTCACGACCCCGCCAATCCTGCAGAGGCCGGATCACAAAACCGACCTCCTCCTCTACTTGGCCATGGCAGAAAACACCATCAGTGCAGTCATAGTACAAGAACACCAGAAAGTAAAAATGCCAATCTACTTCATCAGCCGAGTCCTCCAAGACACGGAGAAACGGTACCAAATGATCGAGAAACTGGCACTGCCACTCGTTACCGCGGCTCGGCGTCTCCGACCCTACTTCCAGAGTCACCAAGTAGTCGTCAAGACCGACTACCCAATCAAGCAGATCTTGAGGAAGCCAGAGCTCGCCGGACGAATGATTGCATGGTCGGTCGAGTTATCCGAGTTTGGCATCCAGTACGAAAGTCGTGGCACCCTGAAAGCTCAATGCCTGGCCGACTTCGTAGCCGAGCTCACGCCCACCTCTGCCGAGGAACCACAAGTATGGACTTTACACGTTGACGGGTCCTCCAACTCTAAGGGTGGAGGTGCAGGTATCATATTGGAAGGCCCAAACCAAGTCACTTTGGAGCAAT